AGTCATACAGTATATAGCCTTTTGAGACTGACTTCTTGGCATAATGCCTTTGAGATTCATCCAAGTTTTTGTGGGTTATTAATAGTTTTTGTTTGTTTGCTTTGGCTGAGTAGTATTCCATTGTCTGGATAAACCACAATTTGTCTACCCATTCCTCTGTTGAAAGACATGTATGTTGTTTTTGGATTTTGTTGATTATGAAAAGAGCTGCTATAAACATTTGTATACATGTTTTTGTATGTTAGGCAAGTTTTCTTTTTAGATTATTTTATGTGTTGCTTATGAATAATAATGGGGTGGGAACCAAGTTTTTTAGTCTACAAAAAGGAAAACAGTTTCACATGAATTTTTAGAGAGATGCACTTTCTAAACAGGGAGTCCCCCATCTTGCCCCATCACACATAGCCAAAGCAGCTCTATCTGCCAATACTCTGCTCCCAGTTATCCAGGTAACAAAGTCCTCTTGGATATTAGGACTTTTCTTGCCTCTGTAGTAGGAGTTGTTGTGTCCCTGTTTTGATGTGTGTCTTAGTTATCTAGTGCTGCTATATGAGAAATACCATAAGTGGATGGATTTAACAAAGAGAAATTTATTCTGTCACAGTTTAGGAAGCTAGAAGTCTGAATTCAGGGCACCAGCTCCAGGGGAAGGCTTTCACTCTCTGTGAGCTCTGGGGAAAGGTCCTTGGAACTTCCTGGAAACTTGTTAGAAATGCAAATTCTCAGCAGGGAATTTGCTAGAAATGCAACTTCTTAGCAGGGTTTTGAACTTAAAGGAACCTGTTCAAAGCCCCTATTACAGCCAAGGAAACCCTATGGGAGCAGTTCTACTTCGTCATGTAGGGCTGCTATGAGTGGAATCAACTTGACAACACACAACAACAATTCGAAACGTAGGTTTTCCACCATATTTTTAATTATATTAGAATATGATTAATATATTACTATTGGAACTTTTCTTTTTCTTTTTTTTTTTCAGGAGTCAATTTTACAGCTCGATCCCGATCATTTGCTGTCCTGCCTGGGACTTGGTCTGAGAGGTTGGCCATCCTCCTGGCTGCTTCCCTGTGCTCAGCGGTCTCATGGCTGGCTCTGTGCTGTCTGGTGTGCTGTTGGTTTAAGAAAAGCAGAAGCAGAAGTACATGGTTTTGTTTTATTTATTTTTTTAATGAAAAAATTCTATTATGTATAATAAATTAATGATTCTTTTTCTCCCCCAAAAAGAAATTTCTATGACTCTTTGCAACATACGAACCACAGAGTCAAATTTTTCAACACCTACAGTAGAGATAAGGCTTACCTAATTTTAAATAATAATAGTAATAATAACGAAAGCTTGTATTTATTGTGGCAGAGGGTCAATGAAAGAGAGGAAGACCCTCAACAAGATGGAATGACACAGTGGCTGCAAAGATGGGCTCAAGCATAGCAATGATTGTGAGGATGGCGCAGGACCGAGCACTGTTTCGTTCTGTTGTACATAGGGTCGCTATGAGTCAGAACAGACTCAACGGCACCTAACAATGACAACATATTTACTGAATACTCACTGTGGGCCAGGCTGTAAGTACTTTAGAGAAATGAATTTATTTAAGTCTTATATCAAAACTATGAGGTAGGTACTAAATATTATGCCTCTGTTATGAGTGTGGAAAAAGAGGCACAGAAAGGTTAAGTAACTTGTCCAAGGTCACACAGCCATGAAGAAGCCAGGCAGTTTGGCCCTGGATTCTACTTTATGAAACACTATGCTCCACTAGCCCAGTGGACCCTTCACAAGGTAAGTTAAAGAGTCAGGGGAAAATGTCCTCTTCTACTTCAAGGAGTGCTTGGTGTTGTTTCTCTCGGAGCCTATAAATTCAGTATGTTCTTGAACATTTTCCCAGAAGCAGAAGATCATCTTTTAGTTTGGAGACATGGGAGTTATTGAGGGAAAGAGGCTTCTTCATATCGTTGTACTTTGATCTTAGAGTGGAGGAGAGAAAAAAGCAGATCCAGCATTGGCAAATTCCTTACTCCACCCACTCCCACACACCAGACCATCAAATTAGTGGAAGAAACCCTTACGACCTTAACAGACCAAAGTTATAAGCAAGAGTCAGTATAAAAGATGCTAAACGAAGAGAGGCAAAAAGAGAAAGTCAAAATAAAGGAAAGAGGAAGTAGCATGATGCCACTAATACTCTTCCCATGTTACCTCTGGCACTGGGCCTCACTGTGTCAACCTTGGAAACAGACTAACTTCATTGTTTCATGATCTAGTTGATACCTCTATAGAAGAAATGGTGCAAATTTAATATAATCTACAATTAATAGGAAGCTTTTAAATTTATTATTTTTTTAAATAAAGAGCCTGCTGCCAGTAGCCTGCTGCCCCTCACCCTTATATAGTTAATAGTGCCAGACACATTAGCATCTTCTAGTCACTTTTAAAAATCAGAAGGAAAAGTTCTCTTTCATGACTATTTTTGGGCATTGGAACACGTTTCCAGAGGAAGGAAAAGTTTTGTCTCAGGCTAAGATTACAATCCTTACCTGCCACCTACTTACTTTAAAAATATAAACCTATATACTTAATTTTACAAGGTTTTGATTTACTCTTAAATAATAAAGCTATTAAATGACTCATTAAAAAGAAAAAAAATCTCTTATGATTGGCAGGTAAATTTTTTGGATATGATTTTGTTTTCTGTTGTGATTGCATTTGCTTTTTAAACTCCTATTTCCTCAAAATGCAATGATATCATGAATTCCAGCTTTTCATTCTGTATATAACATTTTGAATTTTTTCAAAGACTATCTTCATTGACTATCTTATATAAAATTTTTATGCTATGAAGTATACATCTAAGTCAAACAAGTAGGAAATTAAATGGTACCATCATGGCCATTATAAAATGATTTTTTGCTAAAGTAGACTAGTAGAAGAAACACAGGGCCAGAACTTTTACATTGGAGGACCACTGTTTAAATTCAGCTTTCCTTCTTGATGCTGGATGATTGTAGACAAGTTATTTAACCTTGTCTAGCTTCAGTTTCCTCATCTGTAAAATGATGAGCAATCTTTGCAAAATGTTAAACAGGTATTAAGAGTATACCATGTAATGAGCACTTGGTAGATTCAAGAGGATCTGGGTGATGAATTTTGCTTTGTTTATTAGCCCGGCAATACCTTAAGTAATTTTCCCTGAAGCCTACTATCTCATTGCCGTTGAGTAAAGTCGAACTCCTAGCGGCCCTATAGGACAGAGTAGAACTGCTCCAGAGGGTTTCCAAAGCTGTAAATCTTTATGGAAGCCGACTTTCTCCTGAGGAGTGGCTGGTGGGTTTGAACTGCCGACCTTTAGGTTAGCAGCCAAGCATTTAACCACTGCACCACCAGGGCACCACGGTCTACTATCTGCCATCAAGTTGATTCCAACTCATAGTGACCCCATTGGGTTTCCAAGGCTATAAATTTCTATGGAAGCAGACTGCCACATCTTTCTGCTGCAGAGCTGCTAGTGGTTTCAAACCACTGACTTTTTGGATTAACAGTCGATGGCTTTAACCAGCGCACCAAGGCCTACTATACCAAACCCAAACCCGTTGCCACTGAGTCCATTCCAACTCATAGCGACCCTATATAGGACACAGTAGAACTGCCCCATAGGGTTTCCAAGGAGCACCTGGGAGATTCGAACCGCCGACCTTTGGGTTAGCAGCAGAGCTCTTAACCACTGTGCCACTAGGGTGCCAAGCCTGCTGTAGCTCCTAATAAAGATATCAACATCCTTAATTAACACTCAATCCTATTCTCAGCTCCTATTTCCTACCTGGAAGGTCCTTGATAAAGAACACCTGCAGCTCCCTAGTTATCATTTGAGCACTTGTTTGAGAGGAGGCAAATCACCTGTTCACTCTTGCATAGTCAATTCCAACCATGAGCCTCAGAAATCAGCCTGGGATAAAGTTGGGGCTAGAAAGAGACTCTGCTGCTCTTTCCCCTTTACTGGAGGTACTTTGGACCACAAATAACAAGTTGTATCAATCCTATCCGGAACCAGGAGCAATATTTCCAATGTTGCCTATTGCCTTGTTGGTAGGATCACCAGGGTGATAGAAAGAAAAAGAAGGCGAGGGTCTTATTCCATCAAACACCTATGCAGAGGAAAGAGAAGCTGCATGTAAGTTCAAAGTTCAGCCTCTGGCTCCCAGTGACCATAAAAATCTTGCTGCTTCCATCAGTGGTACGTGCAGAGGTCATTCAGCTGGTGGTAGTATTCTACTCTTTGGAAGATATGGTCCTTGCCCTCAAGAGGATCGCAATCTAGTTGTAAAGATGAGACTAATATCCATGAAACAGAGAATAAGAAAGAGTCAGTGATCTCACCCTGCCTCCACCTCTGCACCCCTTTTGATGACATCCTAAGGTTGATAAG